TCTCTGGTTTCAAAATGTGTTTGAGTTTTTTTTGCTTGCATGTATTCTGCAATACTTAAAGCAAACTATACCAGCGGTCATGCAAAGCCAGATTTCCGAGTTCCGCGGTCATATACATTGAATGGCAAGTGGAGAGATAACAAGGTTGTGGTTAATGATTTTATAATATATTCTTCCAGTATTTATTATTTATAGACCTGGAGTGAGAGGAACTCGGCGAAATATTTCTCAGAAACTGGCGATATTTCTTCAGGCAAAGCCCTATGCCACCTATGTCATCTTAGATGTCATCAATACTACGATTTACGCAGATCTTGTTTATTTTATTACTATAGTCTAATGTGACTGACAATCAAGCTTCTTCCATATTCAGATTTAAAGTTAAAGATTTGAACAATTAATTCAAGGGATATGAAAGGTTTGGCGTTGAGTGGCCCCAACTCCAGATGGAAACACGGTTTCCTATCTTAATGCTTATTATAAATTAATACTTCACGATCTTGTGATTCGTATCATGCACTTTAGCGGAACGTTCTTACTTCAAACTGGCATGAAGCAGCATTATGCGCAAAAACCAATTATGATTCGATCCTATTGCGTAAGTATTGAATGAATGACCAACCCATACGGAAGTAAACGGCATTTGAATAAATCAACATTTTTCACAACAACCAAACCTCGACGTTGTCGTTAACCCACAAAGATAATGCTCAGAGCTTAATTGCTTGTGCGTTTCTAAACCTGTATCAAGAGACTATCCTTGTATGCAAATAAATCAGCGCTATTTAAAGTTAGGTTACTCAGTTTTTACGTTTGTTGACTGTGTGAATGAAACAATATCGGTCATAATAATGTCGCTTGACGTAGATGTCATTTGATAAAAAAGGAAAATGGGGACTTGATGTCATATTTATATTCTTATCGAATAGTGAAATGCATAAATGAAAAAGTTGACAGGTGTCGCTATGGTCCATACCGATCTTGCCAGTGGGTCCTGTTCATATCTGATTAATCGGAAAAATCTAATCGTAAATTATCTCTGTGTTCATATAACTATGGCCACATTTGATTCGTTTTAGCTTCGAAAGTTTTGCGTCCATTTTGGGCAAGCATTTATCGTTCATTATATGTGAAGAAGCATTCAAAAATGACTTCTAAATTTCTCCAAACGCCGTTAGTGAAACTCTTTCCCGCCCTGACTCTAAGCCGTTTATCGCTACCATAGCTGGAATTTAAGTGCGCAAGGGTTCGAACGAATTTAAATTTTAGATCGATGTTAAGCGCTGCATGGAATAGATCGATGAATATTCGTCATTAATTATTCAATGTCATTACTTGGAAAAAGCAATATTGATGAGTTCGAAGAAGTGTAAATAATATTTGTTGTTTAGTGATACGGACTGAAAATATCAGAGCCTACGTACAAATGCAAGTACATCTTCATGAACACGTAACCCAGCTCATCATACAGCATTTGTTACCAATAAATTCAGGCTTAGATCTGTTTCGAGCGCATTTAATTTAAATCTCGGATACGCAATAATTGTCACACGATCGCGAAAAGGTATAAAATTGCTAACAATCGACTTCGTTAGGTATCACCATATAGTATCACATATCCTACATCTTAAAGTTCATATTGTTCCTCTTTCATAGTATTTTAGGCATGCAAGCAGAGATGCACACAAACGAAAAGTTTTTTTTCCTCATATAGCGTGCATAGTCTAACAAATAACGCCTTCAGTGTTTTCTTTGTGGCCAAACCTTGTAGCTATGATACGGAATGTTTCCTTTCTCCAATGTCAACTTGTAGGCTAGTTTTTGCATGTTCATGCAGAAAAACCGGTGACATATAATATACTTCTTCTAGTTCCGTGTCCTATAATTATTTAAAATCTTAGAGACTTAGATGGCCCGGAAGCAGAAACAGGCCGACGAAAAATCTTGTTTTTGTTCACGTACCGTCCTTACAAAAGCAAAACAACGCTGCGGTCGCGGTTCTTTGCGGTTTAGTTTGTATTCTTCGGAAGCGACGACTGGATACCTGGCTGGGCATGCAAAACCTTTAACAAATTATTCCCCTAAAATTGTTGGACGAATTTATAAGATGAAAATTTACTCTAGACAAATCCACAGTTACCAAAAATCCTGATCTGAAAACGCCTTAGAAAAAACTCAATCCAAACTGCCGCCTTTTAAAGAGACAAGGAATTACTCGACATGAAAATATTTTTGCATGTTAATTGTAAGGCTGGAAATCAAACAATTACCCTTTATAGTTTTGAGATAAACTAATTTAACTGCGCTAGGGTTCAAACGAAATTGATTTTTGGATCGATGTTAAGCGCTGCATGGAATAGATCGATGAATATTCGTCATTAATTATTCAATGTCATTACTTGGAAAAAGCAATATTGATGAGTTCGAAGAAGTGTAAATAATATTTGTTGTTTAGTGATACGGACTGAAAATATCAGAGCCTACGTACAAATGCAAGTACATCTTCATGAACACGTAACCCAGCTCATCATACAGCATTTGTTACCAATAAATTCAGGCTTAGATCTGTTTCGAGCGCATTTAATTTAAATCTCGGATACGCGATAATTGTCACACGATCGCGAAAAGGTATAAAATTGCTAACAATCGACTTCGTTAGGTATCACCATATAGTATCACATATCCTACATCTTAAAGTTTATATTGTTCCTCTTTCATAGTATTTTAGGCATGCAAGCAGAGATGCACACGAACGAAAAGTGTTTTTCCTCATATATAGCGTGCACAGTCTAACAAATAACGCCTTCAGTGTTTTCTTTGTGGCCAAACCTTGTAGCTATGATACGGAATGTTTTCTTTCTCCAATGTCAACTTGTAGGCTAGTTTTTGCATGTTCATGCAGAAAAACCGGTGACATATAATATACTTCTTCTAGTTCCGTGTCCTATAATTATTTAAAATCTTAGAGACTTAGATGGCCCGGAAGCAGATACAGGCCGACGAAAAATCTTGTTTTTGTTCACGTACCGTCCTAACAAAAGCAAAACAACGCTGCGGTTCTTTGCGGTTTAGTTTGTATTGTTCAGAATCGACCACTGGATACCTGGCTGGACGTGCAAAACCTTTAACAAATTACTCCCCCAAAATTGTTGGACGAATTTATCAGATGCAAATTTACGTTAGACAAATTCACAGTTACAGAAAATCCTGATCTGAAAACGCTTTAGAAAAAGCTCAATCTAAACTGCTGCCTTATAAAGAGACAAGGAATAACTGGACATGGAGATATTTTTGCATGTTGTAAGGCTGGAAATCAAACAATTACTCTTTATAGTTTTTGAGATAAACTAATTTAACTGCGCAAGTGTTCAAACGAAATTAATTTTTAGATCGATGTTAAGCGCTGCATGGAATAGATCGATGAATATTCGTCATTAATTATTCAATGTCATTACTTGGAAAAAGCAATATTGTTGAGTTCGAAGAAGTGTAAATAATATTTGTTGTTTAGTGATACGGCCTGAAAATATCAGAGCCTACGTTAGCGCGTACAATTGCAAGTACATCTTCATGAACACGTAACCCAGCTCATCATACAGCATTTGTACCAATAAATTCAGGCTTAGAACTGTTTCGAGCGCATTTCATTTAAATTTCGGATACGCGATATTTGTCACTCGAAAAGGTATAAAATTGCTAACAATCGACTTCGTTAGGTATCACCATATAGTATCACATATCCTACATCTTAAAGTTTATAATGTTCCTGTTTCATAGTATTTTAGGCATGGAAGCAGAGATGCACACAAACGAAAAGTGTTTTTTTTCTTATATAGCGTGCACAGTCTAACAAATAACGCCTTCAATATTTCTTTGTGGCCAAACCTTGTAGCTATGATACGGAATTTTTCCTTCTTCCAATATCAACTTGTAGGCTAGTTTTTGCATGTTCATGCAGAAAATCCGGCGACATATAATATACTTCTTCTACTTTCGGGTCCTATGATTATTTATAATCTTAGAGACTTAGATAGCCCGGAAGCAGATGCAGGCCGACGGAAAATCTTGTTTTTGTTCACATACCGTCCTTACAAAAGCAAAACCACGCTGCGGTTGCGGTTCTTTGCGGTTTAGTTTCTATTCTTCGGAATCGACGACTGAATACCTGGCTGGGCATGCAACACATTTAGCAAATTATTCCCCCAAAATTGTTGGACGAATTTATCAGATGAAAAATTACGTTACACAAATCCACAGTTACAGAAAATCCTAATCTAAAAACACCTTAGAAAAAACTCAATCTAAACTGCTGCCTTTTAAAGAGACAAGGAATTACTCGACGTGGAGATATTTTTGCACGTTGTAAGGCTTGAAATCAAACAATTACTCTTTATAGTTTTGATATAAACAAATTTAACTGCGCTAGGGTTCAAACGAAGTTAATTTTTAGATCGTTGTTAAGCGCTGCATGCATGGAATAGATCGATGAATATTCCTAATTAATTATTTAATGTCATTACTTGGAAAAAGCAATATTGATGAGTTCGAAGAAGTGTAAATATTATTTGTTGTTTAGTGATACGGACTGAAAATATCAGAGCTTATACGTACAATTGCAAGTAGCTACATCTTCATGAACCGTGACCCACCTCATTATACAGCATTAGTTCCCAATAAATTGAGGCTTAAAACTGTTTCGACCGCATTTCGAGCGCATATATACTTAATTATGTATGTGATACCTAATGAAGTCGATTTTTAGCAATTTTATACCTGTTACGTATATGTGTATATATATAATTATACATATACTTCTTTTAGTTTCGTGCTATATATTTGAAAGCTTGGATATGTAGGCACGCAAGCAGATGTACACAAACAGAAAGTTTCCTATTTTTTTCGTGGTAGCCTCGTAACAAGAGCGAAACAACGCTGCGGTTGCGGTTCGTTGCAGTTTACTCTGTGTTCTTAGGAATTTATTTAAGATATCTCACTGGTACCAGTTGGTCAGTTTGCTTGCGAATTTTTTGTGAAAACAGTTTGCGAAGATTTCCCTACAGATGAAAGTACAGTAAGGTAGGCCGCGCATGCAAGTAACTTCATATCCTGAAAGCGCATGAGTAAATCACTACTATTCGCGAAAGAATATCAGGGGTTTTAAGAGAAGACAGTTACTGAGTCAGAACACATCTTGTCGCTTGTATGTTCAGTTGACGTTAACTTGATTCTCGTCAAGTTTCATATGCATTTTTAACAAGACCTCAATTAATATATTTTAAACAGTAAGCCTGACATTATGCAGGGTTTATAAAGAAGTTATTATTTTAAACCATACTTTTGTTCAGGATAGGTAAATTTGTGGGAAGTTTCTTAATGTTAGGAAGTTTTTTTACTTTATTGATAAAAATTAACGTAAAGATTTCCACACAAGGGGATACACCGACAACTCGGTTTTAACCATAGTATGCTCTAGTTTACCGGCCAAATCCCCGTTCTCACGTCGACCAATACGGATACTCTGATAATGTTTCGACAATTTACAAAAATCAATTCTACCTACACCACAACCTTAATTAAATAAAGCTATATAATGTGCTCAAAACAAAAGTTAGATGCTAAGCTAATCTATTACTCTCATATAGGGAAAAAATTACCCTTGTATTGCATGCTGCAAGTTTCTCTCCACGCAATTTTGGCCACAAAAACATCTCAAATTTATTAGGAATTGATATTACGCGCTGGAAAAAAAACACTGGACTAAACAATGGAGAAAACGGAGGATGGGAATAAAGAACAAAAGGACGAAATCAAGACAAGTTCTAAGAATTTCCCAAAAGAAAATGACGAAGATGGTACAGTATGAAACATGCAGAATTTAACCTACGACTATATATATATATATATATATATATATATATATATATATATATATATATATATATATATATATATATATATATATATGTATATATATATATATATATATATATATATATATATATATATACATATTTAGGGCAATCACCTGGCAAAAAGCCATTTATAAGTAAATCACAAAAACATATTAACGTTTCCACTTTATTATCTTTCTCAAGTGAACTAAATATTACAGGCTTCTACTTTTATATACCTACCTAGATTAAAATTAGCATACATAGTTATCCATTTCAATATTCAACCCAGAGGGGTACATTGTCTTAAGTCTGTTGATCCAATACTTTTCCCTAATTGTAGGTTCTGCCGGATTAGTTTTATCAATGATAACTATCTCACAATCATTAACTAAACCATTGTGCTCTTTTCTTAGAAAATGTGAATGAAAAAACGCTTGTGTGTGGTCCCGATTGTTATATATATATATATATATATATATATATATATATATATATATATATATATATATATATATATATATATATATGATAAGCATGTCAAAAGAAATATATATATATATATATATTTATATATATATATAATATATATATATATATATAATATATATATATATATAAAATAATAATATATTTAAGAAACATAGCCAAGATCAGAAAGTACATTAGTGCTAGCACGACCGAAGTACTTATCCATTCCTTTGTCAGTTCGAGATTGGATTTCTGCAATTCACTTTTGTATGGTTTACCTAAGTACGAAGTTAATAAATTGCAAAATGTGCAAAATGCAGCTGCACGGATTATAGCTTGTTTGCGAAAGTATGACCACATCAGTCCAATTTTAAGAAATCTACACTGGTTGCCAGTTCAAGAAAGAATCGTTTTTAAGATGAATTTAATGTGTTTCAAAATAGTAAATAATATTGCTCCCAAATATTTGCAAGAACTTGTATGTCTTTATGAACCAACAAGAACACTTCGATCATCTTCAGATAAATGGCGTCTTAAAGAACAATCATACAAACTTAAAACTTATGGATATCGGGCATTTTCGGTAGCAGGGCCAAAACTATGGAACACACTTCCAGTAGATATCAGATCTATAACTGACATTAACATTTTTAAAACAAAATTAAAGACGTATCTTTTTAAATTAGCTTACAACGTATGACTTATAATTATGATTATAAGACATTCTCATTATTAAGTTTTACTGCAGTTTTAAATAGTATTGGTATTGATATAGAATTTGTAGCGGTTGAACTTTAACCTTGTCATATAAGACGTGTAAAATATTGTATAATTAATTTTAAAATGTAAAGCGCATAGGACAGAAATTTTATAGAAATTATAGAAATTTTATTATTATTATTTTTATTATTAGTAGTAATATATATATATATATATATATATATATATATATATATATATATATATTATATATATATATATATTATATATATGTATATATATATATATAATATTATATATATATATATATATATATATATATATATATACACCCATTTGCAAAAACGTTGGCCGCAGATAGATAGATAGATAGATACTCAAAGTCTAATTAGAATTGCATATGAATACATTTGCATGGGATTTCAATCATATTACACAACATATGCAATTCTAATTAGATTTCGGGTATATATCTATCTATCTATCTGCGGCCAACGTTTTTGCAAATGGGTGTATATATATATATATATATATATATATATATATATATATATATATATATATATATATATATATATATATATATGTATATACGCAAATTTGGATGTGTACGTTGTGAATCAGAGTGCTCAATACCAATACAATAGTAGAGCAAAAAAATCAACAAATTACAATCTTAAAATTTTTATTTCGCTACACTGTGTTTCACGTACTCGCCTGATGATCGTACATGGTAGAAGTACGTGAAACACAGTGTAGCGAAATAAAAATTTTAAGATTGTAATTTGTTGATATATATATATATATATATATATATATATATATATATATATATATATATATATATATATATATATATAGTTGTTGTGTTTAGTTGTTGGTGCAATTTGTTCACTAGATAAAACTGCGCCCAAAGCATATATATATGATGTCGCAATTTCCTTAAACGTGATAAAACATTTTTCCATCTTACTTTATTTATTAAAGATTATATGAGCCACTAAGTTTAATCGCGTTGGACGCAGTTGTAGCCTAACAGCCTGATGATTAGGTTAATTCCTAACAATGAGGTGTTCTATTTTAAAGAATCATATATAATAAACGTTTGAAAAACACAAAACTGAAAATGTATTTCAATTCTTTGTATTTTGAAATAATATACAGTTAGAACGAGAGGAAATGAAAACGAAGATTGTCAGCAGGAAGATGGAAACAAAACAAAATCAGATGAAGATAAAACAAAAATTATTATGACAGAACAATCCTTTGAAGAAACAGACTTAAACGATATGGAATCAAAAAATTACGACACTAAGGCAGAAGTGGAAAACATTGAAAAACTTGAGGAGCAAAAATCTGACGTTTCAGAGAAAGGTAGCAACGCAAATTGCTTGTACTATTTCTGTAACGGTTTACAACCCCAACTACTTGGTAGCTTTGTAAGATTCTTTTCCTATGATGCTGTCAGCTAGCTAGGGCCGTTTCGTATTTAGTTAATAAAAAATATATTTTTAAACACAACTTTTATATATATTAACTTACAATTTTTTTCTCACATACGTCTATAGCAAATTGTTTATAGCAACGGGTTAAACCATAATTGTGAAATTCATTCATAATTAATGAGTCTAACTTCCAATCATTGCGCAGTATTTTAGTCACATACATACATTTGTAATTCGCCATAAAGGTCTTATGAATTAGCAATTCATATATTGTATTAACTTTGATTCAAGTAATCTCAATTAGTATTCATAACTTTGTTACACACATGCCCTGATGTATACATTAAGCTTAATCTATTCATTTCCACAAGCTATATAATGCTAGGATTTTAATTTTTTGATCAGATTTGTCAAATGATCCATCTAACTTAAATTCTCTCCATGCAAGCGCGATTGAGTCAGTTTATTGATTATTAGCTTTATGAAATTGCAAATTACACAATCAATCATATCATGTTAAAACTTGTTAAAAAAGTCTTGCTATGCCTCGTTTAGAGGTCGTATATGGGATGAATTAAATGAGTTTTTCAAACTAATTTAAACTTCTAATTGGTTTTGTAGTCGATGTGGAGGAAACTGAAAACGGAGATTGTCAGCAAGAGAATGAAAACGAAACAACATCAGCTGAAGATGAGAGAAAAATTACCATGACAGAACACCTCGTGGAAGAAACGGATAAAGGTATGTTGGAATGAAATTAAATTGTACTTTATCATTTAGTTTTAAACTAGTGGTCTGCTAAAAAAGATTCCAAACGTCTTTTTTTAATTTTCACTACAACCCAAGATGTCTGGTTTCGCCAGTAAATCTTCCAATATGTAATATAATTGATCAGTCGAGGGTTTACAATTTTTTATGAATTCATAAATTCGAAAATTCTAGCATTGATTGTTTTCATTTATTGATGTTGGTTTAACCACAGAAGTCACGTACGTTCATAAATCCTACGATTGTGACAAAAAACGTGTTCAGAATACATAATTAGCTATATTTCGTAATTGAAAATACGCTTAATCTTTCAGGCATAATTCTTCGCCCAGATCGTGCGAGGATGAGGCTGCACTGATCTTTATGATCTGCAATAGACGTGTACATGTAGTCTAAAATTGATATCTGTATTACAGTTGATTTCACAAAACTTTGGCCGCTCCAGTTGCGAACTATGTTTTGAAACTGTCAAGTGGGCGGGGAAGTTGTCAATTCCGTTTTGTAATTCGCAACGAAATTCCGAAGTTCAAATCGAACTTCGAAATTTCAAATCGAACTTTGTGGGCAATTTGGCTCAGTCTCTATAAAATGGGCACTATAAAATACCTGGGCAAAGCAATTACAATATATTTCTTTACTGCATTGAAATTGCTTTGCCCTGGTGTTTTATAGTGGCCATTTTTTAGTGATTTAGTCAAATTGCCCGCAAAGTTCGATTTGAAATTCCGAAGTTCGATTTGAACTTCGGAAATTCGTTGCGAATTACAAAACGGAATTGACAACTTCCCCGCCCACTTGACAGTTTCAAAACATAGTTCGCAACTGGAGCGGCCAAAGTTTTGTGAAATCAACTGTAACGTAAAACGTAACTGCCTTGATGCGTGTTTATTCAGTTTTCCTCTTTCAATCAACATAGCACAAAATTATGAACAAAATTATGAATTTATATCCAACATTTTCATCATGAACAAAATTATAAATTTATATATACCCAAGATCAATAACGCAATCTGGACGAATCTATAAAACTATTATTTGTTATATCGCTTTGAATAAGGTGCTAATCGGGTTTTTTAAAGAACGAAACGACACAATATGATATATAATATTAAAAAAATAAGCTACTTCAATAGAATAGACAATAAGTTCTAATAATAATAAATGCCTCTTCAATCTAACTCTCATAGTCCATGTTTATTTTTTTCTCTTCTGAATACAGAAAAACCCGAACAAACTGCGAGTAAAGATCAATCCCCAGACGCTTTAGCAACATCCGGTGCCCTGTTTAAATTATGTAATGAATTAAATTTAAAACCTGATTCAAAGTTTACTTTAAAACACGCACGAACAATTGATAATCACACACTTACTGATGAAAAGCTAAAATCCCCTGAGCAAATACCTGAGTATATTTTTAAAACAATATTGATGGCTAATTACCATGTGCGCAAATTTAAAATAACCCAGGATATAAGCAGAACTAAACAAAGCGAAGATTCCGATGACAGCGAAGATGAGGACGAAGGAGTGAACCCAATGGATGCATTGCTTTGTATTTTTTATTTCTCGGATGATTCTTTGCGGCGTTATCTTGCCTTAAAATTAGCGACATGTCAACTTAGTATTCCGTTTCTTTTGCCTGATCCAAAAATGCCATCTGAAAATGTTACAATGCTGCTGTCGTCCGTAGAGGGCATCACGAAATCTTGGAAAGATTCTCCCGAAATTTTTGTAACAGAATATCCATTTCCAGTGGTTTCTTTCATTCGCATTGGCAAAGTCACAACATCGAAATCATCCTTGATCAACAAAATTATGAGTGATGGAAGCAATCATCATGACTTCTTCTTCCACAAAGACATGGAAGGTGGGCATTTTGAGAGAAAAATAGTCGATGGATTGGTTGAGATGAGCTGGTATCTTCCTGGAGAAAGTGAGAAACAAACATGCCAAAATGAAATTTGTTTTATGAATCTACGAGGAGACGCAGGGGTTTTAAAGAAGCAACGAAATGTCCTTTCAAAGATCTCATCTGTTTTATGCATTTTAATACCTTCGGAGTATCCAGACGAGACCAGTAGGAAGATACTGGAAGAGGCGATGGATGACAAAGCAAAAATCATTCTCATTTTCCTTGAGAAACCAGGGCAAGAAGCAAAACAGTATTTCAAACTGCTGGAAGGCGAAAAGTTAGCTTCAATAACCAGATCCAAGCGAGCCAATGAACACGAATTTGTAAAAATTATACAAGAAAAAGTTATAGGAAAGCTACAAGATATTCAAACAACGCCTCTAAGAAACTTGGCATCTCTTGCAAGTGAACATTGCATCAATTATAACATCGGTCAAACACAAACCAAATTTGAAGAAAACGTTGACAAATGGTTGAAAATCGGAATAAAAGAAGCCAAAGACCATTTGAAATTACAATTGCACGTCCCAGTATTGGCGGACCTGGAAAGAGAAAAATATCGACCCAGAGGCCGGGGTACCAAATCTCTTAAAGATGATATGGACAAAATATATAAAAAAATTAAAAATGAAAATAAAAACCAAAAGAAATCGTTTAAACAACTGGATCGGCGATTTCTTGACTTTCTTGATTTTCTTTCAAAGATGAATGTGACTGAACGAGTTAAAGCGTTGTGTAGGTTGAAGCATCAGTTGAATAAGATGTCTCTCCGTGTTATGGCAGAATTGCATGGCGAAGATCAGAAAAAACAGGCAGCAACGTCCCAGGAGTTAAAAGAAAAACGCTTAAAACATTCCCGAGAGAAATCCAGATCCTCGTTTGGTTTAGAGCACATCATCAGAGAACTTGCCCAGCTCTACCAACTTCGAGAAAGCAAATACGACTTTGCAGATGTCGCAGCAGAGATGTTGCTTTCAGGACAATCTCTTGAGTTAGTAGATGGTGATTCCTCGTACATTCCACTGCGATGGTTTGAAGCTGTATATACTAAGCTAGAGAAAAAAACAAAAAACGCTACAATATTTGTAATTTCTGTTCTAGGTATTCAAAGTTCAGGTAAGTCCACAATGTTAAACACAATGTTTGGTTTAGAATTTCCAGTCAGTGTAGGAAGGTGTACTCGCGGCGCTTTTGTTAGCCTCATTCCTGTCAGTGATTCACTGAAGATTGCTTCAAAGTTTGATTATGTTTTAATCGTTGACACTGAAGGTCTTTCAGGATCTGGAGATCCTAAGGTACGAGAACATGACAATGAATTGGCAACTTTTGTTATTGGTGTCGCCGACTTGACCATAGTTAATATCATGGGCGAAAATCACAATGAAATAAAAGAATTCTTGGAGATTTCCATGCATGCTTTCCTGAAGATGAAACTTGTGAAAGAGAAAAGGATATGCAAAATTGTTCACCAGAACGTTGCTGCGACCGACGCAAGAGACAAGTTGACCGATGACCGTTTAAAACTGAAGAAAGATCTCGATAAAATGGCAAAACTAGCTGCTATTCAAGAAAATTGTGAAGAAGAAATCCAAAAATTGGATGATATAATATCATTCAATGAAAATGAAGACGTGTTTTATATACCAAGCCTACTTCAAGGTAATCCCCCAATGGCTCCAGTAAACCCTAACTATGGAAGAGCCATTCAAAAGGTAAAGGAAAGTATTATCAGCTTGATATCTTCGAAACATGGTTTTCAACTTTCGATTGCTCAGTTTCGAGAGAGGGTCTGCAACCTTTGGAATGCAATGCTGAAGGAAAATTTCATTTTTAATTTCCGTAATGTAATTGAAGTTAGAGCCTATGCGGCTTTAGACCGAAAATACTTCGAAGAATCAGTGAATTTGATGGTGACAGGAATGACGGAGCTGAAAACAAGAATTGAAGTGGCTCTAAGCAGATGCACAACACGAGAAGAACGTGAGAAGGAATGGAAGGAAAGTAGAAAACAGATATGGAGTGAAGCAGCAAACCTTGCAAAAAAAATGGAAAGAGTTATGAAACGCTTCTTTGAAGAAAACGAAGATAAAGCAACTCTTGAGCAGTGGAGGGAAAACACTATGTTGAAAATCAAACAAATGGAAGAGAATCAAAAATTAGAAGTCACTACCTATTGTTCAGAAGCTTTTCGTTATTTACAAAATCGTCAAGACGTCGATGAAAAGAAGCAAAGCTTTGAGAAAGAGATCCTTCACAAGGCAAAAAAATTCATAACTTCAGCTCAAAATACTGATGATGCAAAGAAATGCTTAGCGGCTTTCGAACAAGAATGGGAGAAATGGATGGCAGAAATTCCACATTATCAGGAAAGCAAAACTGACGTCGCTGACGTAATGGTAAATGTTCTTTGCGAAACTAACCCTGCTCTGAATGCAGAAATGACAGAGAAGATAAAAAGCCAAAATTACAAAATATTAAACTTCAAAAAAAGTCCGGTGCTACGATACACTTCCAGTTCACTTGTTCAAAGGAGCGTCCAAACAATGGCCAAATTCTTTAACTTGTTTAATAAACAACAAGATTCTTCAGGAAGAAACATCAATGATCAAGCAGTTGATTGCGCACTTGATTTCGCGGAAAAAAAAGCAAAATCAGGAGTTCGATGTACTCGCAATGACCTTATAGAAATGTACCAAAAAGTTATAACAACCTTGGACAAAGAGGCAGAAAAATCTTGCTTTAAATTCGACGATTTGTTTAAATGTGATATCCTGCTTTATGCATTTGCACATACTTACGACATTTTTGAAAAAATGGAACAACGCTATTTGGAAGAACGAAATATAAAAGGCGACCTTGAAAAGAACCTGCGACCAAGGTTAGAAACGTATTTCAAAAATCTCTGCGATAAAATGGGAAAGGAAATGTCGGCTGCTACCTCCTTTGTGGATGTACTTCGAACACCAATTGAATCAGCGCTGAACCGCGCCATGGGTCCCGCAGTAGCAAAAGAAGTCTTGAAAGTTAGCAAGTTTCAGAGTAAAGGTCAATTTCATGCCAGTGTATTGATTGAACTCGGCAAAGAGGCAGAGTTTAAATCGTACATTCCTTATCTTCAAAATCCAGTTAAATTTCTAAGGGCTAAATTAATGGAATCAATTGAAGACTATTGCATAAATGAAAATCCTGACTCCATCATCTCAGTTCTCAGAAAAGAAGTCGACAAGTTAAAAGAAGATGTTTCGACTGGTATTTCATCTGCTAAGGAAGAAACAGAGAATCATGGTGAAAAACTGACCTTTTGGATCCAGCAATTCGTGTCGAAGTGTTCTTCGTTGGCCATCACAAAAGAAATGTTTGCCGTGGCCGCAATTGATGACGATCTGAAAGACATTGATGTGTTCGAAACCCAAGTTGAGGAAAAGATAAATGATTTTTTTGTATCGTTAATAGAGCGTGGAATAGATGATTTCATTATGAGGGAATGGGACCCATCCCCGCACGATCACTTGTTCTCTTCGATATTTGGTTGTCAAAGTTGTTGTCCATTTTGCAAAGGTTTGTGCGATCAAACCAATCAAAATCATCCTGGTAGTCACTCTACAAGAATTCATCGCGCACAGGGATTGAGTGGTTATCACAGTGTCGACACAAAAATATTGCGTAGTACCATTTGCACTAACGATGTCGCTAATGAAAAAAGACGTTTTCGAAACAAGGAAACAGCCGGGGAATGGCATTATTACAAAGATTATCAATCGGTGAATGATTATTATAAATCGTGGCAAATTCCTGGAGATGAATCATTTGAGTTATCTAAATATTGGCAGTGGTTCATGGCTAACTTCTCGGAAGAATTGGCAAATTTCTATGAGGTTGAAAAACCAAAAATCCCATCAACATGGCATGATCGTACATTCGAAGAAGTGGAACATGATCTTCGTCAGGAATACAACATGCTGCTGGTTGTGAATGAACCAAGTCAGCCAACAGAGCCCAGTAGTCCCTAAGACGTTTTTAATCTTGTCTCTTTTTTATCTATATCTGTTTGTACGTTCGTGCACGTAGTACTTTTAGGAATTTGGAGATTATATAACATCCTAGGTTGTTAATTTTTCGTATTTTCACTTTTAACAGCAATTAGTTTCTCAGATAAGACCTATACTTGACTGGAGTGAACGTATTCGTCTCTATCACTTCCTCAAACTAATTCAAGTCAGTCTTGAACATAAATTAGTCGCGATTCAATGTTTTTAATTATCTATTTAATAAGCTGTAACAAGTAAAACAATCAACTACACTTTAAATGTAATCTCCACTTTGCTCGAATGCACATAAAACGTTCGAAAAAGGGGTCACCAATGTAATCTACATATATCAGAAAGTAAATAAATGAAGCAATTGTCTCATATAACCTTCAGAACTATCATTTATAAAATGATAAATTTTAACACGTGCATGATATAGGTTTAAATTTGGTAAGTAGCGTAAAAAGTAAAAACCCGGTAAATAGTATACTCTTGTAATCATATATAAAGCAGGCAGTAGAGCTATTACTGATTTTACCATTGACAAGGAAAACAATAAATAGCTACATGACAGTCATAATCTATATATGAACAGCATATGCTTACATATACATATAACTTAATTGCATAAATATTGAATTAATCTCACATTTTCAAAAGAACAGACATACCTAAACTCTACAATACATAAATAAGAAGGGTAAATGCAACGAGTTCTGTTTGAAAAAGCAACCTTGAAAGCGGCTGATTCTGGTGGAAAGATGCAAGATACATGCATAGAAAAGCAGGTGATGAACCAAATACGTCAAAGGATTTCTCATAAGGAAGCGTTGTTAATGGTATAGTTGCATGATATGAACTCTTAGTTCAAATTTCTAAATAACTTTTTCTTCACAAGTTGTATGACACTAATAGTAACGGTCAGAACCGTGTATATGTTATTTACTTATAGGGTAGAAAAACAGACTATATATATAGCCGTTCCAGACTTCTTGAGGTATAAATAAGCAATTTATTGTTATTATATTTACCGTCAAAACGAAAAAAAAACATCCAAACTCAAGGTCAAAGTTGGACCGACGAAACGTTAATAATTTAGAGTCCTATAAATTATTTGAAAAGTTGCATGGTAAACAACAAACAAAAATTACTTGTTTTCCTATTCAAATTACAGAGCCACGATACATTTCTGTCACGCGATATTCTTTCCCGATAAAAATCCAGGGGCATTTAGTTTTGACGCTGAATAAATAACAATCTAATTTAAAGATTTCCATAAGAAAAGAAGCACTCACAAAAATGATTTGAATTAATGATAAATAATATCATTGGTACGATGATATGTCGAAAATCCTTGCTGCATGAATTTCCATGAAAAATATTTAATAAAATAAAATTTCGAATCGTTAGTTAATCTTTCAGATTATCTGATACTACAGATTTTGTAACTGCTATCTTCTAATTTACTTCATCGTTGAATTTGCTGTCACATTCGTATGCCGAAATGTTTCAAAAATGCGCAGGTGCAACAATTAGGTACAGCATCTACACGAAATACTTGAAATTAAATGAAAATTCATTAAATACGATCTTCAACTGATCAATCGCCCGGGTGGAACCGTACTGATGTCATACCACGTACAAAAAGAGAAAAAAATAAGCCGACAAAAGTGGAGCATATAAAAGAACGTCTAACAACGTCAAGCTAAGTGGTGAAGCACAACTGAAGCATGCATGGTTAAAAGTCGAGTACTGACATTATAAAACGAACGAAATAGTCGAAGCTTGAAATTGTATTCTTTTCAAGAAAATTAACATTGTCAAAGTTTGGGAAAGATTGCCGCAGGACTGAGTAACGATTTCTTTATAAAAATGAACAATACTAGCTGTACGTACATACTGGTGTTAACGCTACGTATTTCAAAAACTTATAAACAGTCCTTAACGTGGATTTTAACGAACTGTCCTGATGGCATTTGAAAGCGAACGGGACAAAAAAACCTATTTGAATCAACAATCACAGAGGATGATAAACTTGTCTTGATAAATCTTAGAGAAAATGTCGGAATATAGCGTATAAGGAAACGTGAGGAAAGAGTCGTCATCCATGACATGCAATTGATACAAAGATACACGAGATATTCCGACATTGAGATGCTGAGTTTGCGACCAAAAATAAACTGAAAAGCGATACAACCAAGACGATTGTACGTCGTGGGTTCTGCATCGAAAAATACAAATTTTCACATATAATCAAGTGTTGTGCTTAAAAGATTGGATTCTAAGGTAGAAATGAGCGATGTTGATGACGATCACAGGGGCCGGATAATCTGATAAAAAATCTTGGCGAAAAAGACAGGATATAACGAATAAATGAACGTGAATAATTGAAGAAAGAGTCGTCATGACATGCAATGGATTCAAACAAAAACATTGTTTCGAAATCAAGATATTCCGATAGTGAGATGCTGAGTTTGTGATCATGAAAAAAAACCAGTACAGCCGAGACGAAGACTGCCGTGGCTTGGAGATCGGAAAACATGAATTTTCACATGATATCAAGTGTTGTATGGTGTTGAATGTGTCTAGGAAACGCAAAAAAGCTTAGGCGGTTCAGTTTTTCTACTCTATCTCATTTCCTGGCAGTTCAATTGCATGGATTGATAGGTTTCCGAGTTTTGACAAAATATTCGCTGATAAAATTATACAGAATGTGACAGCAAATGACAATGTCAAAAAAAACATGCATAAAATGAAACTCAAACAACTCAAACTCGATCAAATTATTTTCCGAGCTTCCCATGAATTTCGTTGCAAATTATCAAATGAAGATATGGACTTACAGAACGCCAGAAAGGAAATGCAGAAAACTCGTGAATTTTCAACATATCGAAACCATTGATTTTTATGTACAATTGTAATCGATATATCTGCATGAATTTTATCAGTAATACTTTAGTTTGTCAGGATCATTTCGATCATTGTGACAAATTTGCACACGTACCTTACTATAATTTATAAGTATATTTGCACATTTACGCGTTATATATTATCATGTATTGTAATAACCAATATATAGTTGTTTTGAAAATGTACTTGAGTTTCCTTTCGTTTGGCGTAGTGGCAAATCGCAGGCATAACTTCTAGCGCCTAGTTCAAAGTCTCTGCGCAAGTTCTTAATATAAAACATTTAAATGAAATATATTTGTCGAACATCTCCCAATTAAGTTATCATTCCGAGCTCCAAGTAGCTAATATCGTTATTTTGGGCCATTTATATGGAGCAATGTATGCTCAAAATACGCATTGCAGACTATGGCTTGTATACACCCATTTTGCTGTGTTTTGTTTTATTCTTTTGTCTATAATAAAACCACCAAAAATTTGTCGATGTCAAATTTTGAGATGGAAAACAATAAGTCAACGACAGCAAGCTGTAGTTCATTCGTTCCAGGATTTAAACTGATTGGGAAGGTCGAAACCAGAGGAAGAATCTGTCCGGATTTCAAATGTCCTTCTCTGACAAATAGGCCAGGCACTCAATCGACCTTTACATATACCTCCTATGCTATTATCTGCGTCACTAAACGAACTTCTTATATACAATCTCAGAAGCCAGGTCTCTTTTTTATCAATACAAGCGTCTTTTAATCTTCAGCATTCGTTGTGCCCCCAGCTGGCAACAAAAACATCATTAGATATGTAAACAAAGTGAGCATCCGGCAATGATACTCAATCAAAGCACTTGCCCTAATGATAAGTATTTATATCAGCTCCACGCAATCTCTTATTGAATACCTGCCTCACGATTAATTGCGAAGTGTCAGCGCGCGCGCACCAAGCTGTCATTAAGGACCCAGTGAGTGCGCTTTTGCCAGCCAATCGACACGAATCTCAATCAACGACACTCGTTAAGTGTTCACCAATGAGTCTGGCCAATAAGCGCTAAGCATGATAGCCCATTATGCTCCTACAAAGACGCAACAATGTCAGAGCCCTAAATGACTGAAAAAATCAGACATTCACTACATTGAACCGGTGCGGTGTTCAAACGCTTGTCCCTTCATCAGAACCCTGATCGAATCTTACAGCAACTTTATCAAAACAGCACCAGTCACAAACTGCTTCATCGATGATCTCGCAAAGCGCACAAGCACGTCAACAAAACCCAGGGGTTACGTCATTCTTCATTAAAGACATCCTAGCATCCAGCGAAGTTCAGAAAACTTCAGAAACAACGATTTGTAAAGATCGCTTATCATCAGAGGGATTTCCTTCAAGTCCCGTGGCGGAACGCGATCAGGACTCGACGAGATTATTCGCGTTGCCTCATGATCCCCGCATTGGACTCGATCAGAACAGCGTACTGCAAACGGATAACAGAATCCTTACAACGAGACAAATACGAAAGAAACAAAGTAAACACGTACCCTTTGAAAACACGTATAAGCTTGTAGATTATGAATTATTTCTCTTACACGGTTTTGTCTTCATTGTATCCCTGCTCATTTTCGCTATCTGTTATGCTTTTTGCTATCTGTTATGTTTCACAAAAAGGTTTACGAAATGACAGTTAAATTGCATCGACTTTGTCATTGAAATTCAAACTTTCTGCCTTAGCCAATCCGAAAGTTTGTTGATTGCTCGCGCATGCGCATAGCTTAGAAAACCACCCAACGTCGACCGTCCATGACATAGAATTTGGAAAACTTTGGTTTCAGCTATGTTCTCCCGGGTTCCGGGTGTAATTTCTAATCTCCGAGCGGAATTAGTACCCTCGCAGGCGCTCCGCGCCCGCTCGGGGAAAGGTTTTATTATTCAAAATATCAGTTATGCTGACGTGAACTCAAATTTTAATTTAGCCAATCGCACGTTTGTAAACGTTTGCTAGTTGCTATATAGTTTTAACTCGTGTTATACTCATGCATGCGCATAACTTAAAAAAACGCCCAACGTCCATGACATAATGGCGGACAACTTTC